AAAAAATTCAAGCACAAAAATTATGTACACCTAAAGGCTTCTAGTCCTTTTTCCCTTTTCTTCCAGGCTGCCAAATTTGTGTGTGACGCTGATGTTGTTGTTGCTGCTTATAATCCATAGTAGAAGTCATAAACTTGATTAAAAAGGACCTTATAGGACAGTTCACATCTTCATTCGCAGTCAATACCATTCCACTGGGTTTCGGGACGGGATGTAATGCTTTAGTGGCCAATATTACTTCACAGTCCGCGATCCAGAGACCATCGTTTAACCGCTGGGCTGCATGTGCCGCCAAACTCTGACAATTGGGCTAACCTGGTCAGGATTTGATCACGACGATACAACTCTTCTGTAACTGTCCCACCCAGGTATCTGAATTGAACGTTTTGTTCAATTTATCATCCAATGACCACGTACCATAGATGTTTCGTCGTTTCTCTAGTGATAACTCCTCCGATATATTCTGTTCATTCTGCTGTTATCTCTGTTGTGTTTTTTGTTGATAGTGCACGTGTGGTCATTTTATTTGCTATTTAATCTATTTAATTATTCTATTTATTTATTTATCAGCTCTGAGTAAAATGGCGCTGTCAAAAGATTTAGATTTTCAGAATTTTTGTCAATGAGTTCACACGAAGAAGTTTCTCTTGAAATGCGCGAAACTTTCAAATTTCTTCGTTTTTCTCACTGAAAAATATATTCTGTTGTGTTGCTACTATTCAGGATTAGGCTATTCTATCGCAAGCGAAATGGATACATTATTTTACGAAATCCAAATGATTGCGTTATCCACACATGGCTCATCGAAGGGTATATTTGAGATTTCACTTTCTTAAACCTCTCCAATGTTTCAATATTAATCCAGATTCTACAGGCTAGCCTGCGGGTCGCTCTATAGAATGTAGAATGTACTTGACCCAGCCCATACGGACCCCTCCGAAAAATTCATGCATTCTCTTCGGGCCAAAATTCTTGGGCACAGATATGAAAAAAAGTGGTCTGGGACGATCTCTGCTTCATACTGTGAAGAAACCCTGTCTCACAAAACTAGAAATCTCCCCGCAGTAGACAAGTTTTTTCGTTAATGTCCATGGACATAACACCTGACTTGGCTATTTATCTATGGAGAAAAATTTCTGTTTTGGTTCATGCTCCATGAAGTGTACAGTACTGTTTTCTGACGCATGTTTAAAAAAATGCTTATTTTTTGTGTAATTTACTTATTTCATCCATTAGAATGAGCTATTCTGGTAATCTAATTCTGGTATTAGGTCTGCTCAAGCAAAAATAATCTAAAAGTAAAAGAGACTCCAAGACTGTAACGCCTATGCACGTTTTAACACTTACCGTTTTCCGTCGGTAAGTGGACATCTCGTATATCAAATAGGAACTAGAACCAAACCGATTACCGAAAAGCGCGCACTACGATTTAATCGACCATGAACTTGCCTTAACATCTTAAGAAATTACATTAACCAACAAAAACTTTTTGATATCCTGATCGGGTTATAATTTCACTATATATCTCGTTTGGGATATTAAAAAAATTTTCTGTAAAAAAGATATTCCAATTGGGAAATATATCCCGACCGGGATATGCCTCTACACTGCCCAATATCTATTGTTGTAGGAGTCATCTCTCCAACAATACACTGAAGCCGAATGCACTAGAAAAGATCCGTAGTCAATATCGGGAAAAAAGAACTACCAGAACCAAGTTGCATCTCTGCTATCAGTTTCTATATACGGACGACGACTACTGTGTCTTGAGCGGATAAAGCGGATTTTGAATCACCCTGCCAAAAGGTCCTGATGCGAAATACAAAGAACAGATCAGTCTCAACGGCAATCGGATGTCCTCTCGTCAAACTACGTCTGACATTCAGTAATAAAGTTCTGTCAACTCTCTTCGCTCCAGGATGAACGAACTGTACACTCTAAAAAAAAGGTATTTCAAAAAACCCTAAAAAGTATTCTCCATTTGAGAAAAACCAAAAAAAAGGTATAACCACCCGTGAAAAACGTTTAAAGGGTTTAACCATTTGAAACATATCATAACTGTTTAAGTTTCTTATTCTTATCAAAAAACTTCGTTTCCTAAAATATGGCTAAATTACGTTTTGAAAAATGGTTGAGGTTTCTTCATGTCACAAAAAAACTTTTCACGGATTTTAAAATACCAAATCAATTCAGGGTTTTTTAAATCACGGCCTTTTCATATTCTGAAAATCCCAAAGGAGTTTTCTGATAAAAGTAAAGAACGTTTAAACAGTTATGATATGGTTCAAATGGTTATACCATTTTCCGTATTTTAAAATACCTTTTTTTTAGAGTGTAGGACACATTGCAGAGAGTGCGTGAGTGGCTCTGATGAAATGTTTTTTTCCAGACCATCTGGGATTTGAGCATATCAAACGCGATTTTCTCATTCAATGTCACACAAGACCATTAGCCGAACAGCTGTTAGCAGATGGAAAAGACATGTCGATTCTTGTCTTAGACGGAACATACCTTTATGTGCGAAAGAACACCGATAATCTACCACAACGAAAACTCTATAGCCTTCACAAGAATCGCGTGTTGATAAAACCTATGATAATATGTTTTACAGACGGCCACATTGTGTCAAGGATGAGCCAGTACATGGCAGTCTACTATAACAATGATACCAGCATCACTAACCGCATCTTTCGCACGAATAAAGAGGGCATTCTTGACTGGCTAAAACCGGGGAATGTGTTTGTCGTTGACCGTGGATTCAAAGACGTACTTCCACTAATACAATCTTTCGGATACAATATTCATGCCATCATTTCCGCCAAAATCCACCAAGAAATTCATGTCAGAAGAAGTGAATGAAAATCGGAAAGCGACGAAATTAGCGGAAGCATGCTCGCTCACAAATGCTTATCGACCTCTTTTCGCGCAAGATACGAGGGAAGATAACTATATTGCTGCCGAAATATTAAGAAGAGCCAAAAAGAAAAACATGCCGAAAGCAGGTTTAAGCGACAGAGTTCCCGAAAATTCAAAAGTGGGAGAAAATGAACAGAGTTCTGCGGCATCCGACTTTCTACTTTTGGGAATAGTAACACTGCAAGATGTGACTTTAGAGTATTTCAAATCAAGCAAGCTGTATCATATGTTAATGAGCACATTAAGCACGAGAGGGAGTTTAAAGTTCTAGTGTTCACGGAGAAAGAAGGGCTGCTAATGGCACCGATTCAAAGCAAACATTCGTGAGAAAAAACTATCGGGTTAAATCAGTTAAAACACCTGAACAGAGCTAGACTTGGCATGCCAGTGTCCAAATGGAAATATTACAGTCGGCTGCTGCTTAAAGTCTTATCTGATATTTTGGCCATGCTCGCTACGTTCCCTCAACGACCACTCAGAGCTCAGCACGCGAAATGACTTAAAAGCGACTGACAATACGTTTCTACTATTGACAGAATCGTTTTTAGACAAAAAATGCAGTGGACTGATTATTAATCTTAAGCGGACCCCTACTTTGGCACTTGTTCTTCCTAAAAGAATTATGCAATGTATCATTCACTGACTCGTTTTTACAGGTGAATAAAACAATGAATGAAAACGATTTCAATTAGGTATGCCATCCGAACAAGAAAAGTGTTGAAATTGACAACACGAAGGATCCGTGTGCGGTAAGTGTGCTTAGAAGACGTTTTCTTTCATTAATTGGAATAAAGTTATAAAAGACAGCTGGTGTTCACCATAGGCGATGGTGGAGCGTATTAAAATAAGGAAAGGCTCAGACCTACTAGCTTCGTTGCCTATGGTGTTCACACAGAAGTAGCCGATATCGGGAATAATAATTTTTGACAGAAAACCTTATTTGTTGAACATCTATTTTTGTACGTTTTAAACGATTCTAGCTAAAAACCAATTTGCTCTGGAAGCAAAAGTAAAGATTTTTCAAAACGAATAGGAAATCTACATGCAAAGAATGAACGTAAACACGAAAAAGAGTGTCCACGTTCACCTCTACAAAGTCCCATCCATCATGTTTTCGAGTTTCTATTACAGTTATTGAACCAAAAGTGTTCAACAGTGACATCTGAAATTTCTCAAGCCCTCAAAACTTGTAACAAAACAGTAGCTCCAGAGTTGGTGAACTGGAATCATCTTTCCGCTTTTTTTAAAAACCCAATCACGGATGCCACTGGCGGAAAAACTAGACAGCCAGTGAGAAACAAGCGGATTTTTAATTTTGTTTCTGACACGATACTTGCCGTTTAAAATTCGTAGTTTACCACACCATAGATAATCGAGAATGAAACATATTTTGACTCTCAACAGTTCTTTTGAAGGTGCGTATTGAACGAGGAACAACTTAAATGAAAGAAATACTGTTCAACCGACTATCAACTTATATTGAACTTCAAGTACAGCCATTTTGTTTAAAATGTTTCTGTTGGACGTCTGTACTATACCTGATTTGATATATACAGAAAAGAAAAACATGAAATAAGAAAATAAATTTATTCTCAATCTTAGTTGTACGATATTTCCGCTAAGAGCCATCCAGTAGTATAACTTTTTATTTGAGTCAAACTGTCTCAAATAAAAAAAGTTTTGGTAGGCCATTAACATAGAATTGAAAGAATATGAGGGAAACTCGATGCAGAATTTTAAACTTTAAGATTACTATACGGATACTTGAATGGGTTGGAGATAGTCGTTAGAAATGTCACATGGTGAGCACTCTAACATGATAACATAAGATGAATTTTTCTGGATATATCTTGGAGATATCTTTCGCCAAAGATATCTCCCATGGAACTTTAAAAAGAAAGAAACTAGTTTTCTCATACGCTGTATGACAAAAGAAATTAGAAATAACATTAGGTATCGTGTGCGTAACGAAAAACAACTTGTTAATCGTTTATTTTTTTGCTTGTGTCTTTTTAGATGCCGATTTATTTCTCGTGGAATAATTGAGGTCAATAAATTCACACATATTCAGCTTCGCTTGAACGATGTCCTTGCCTTCTACTAACAATACCATCACGATGGTTGTTGAATATAGTGCTCAACGTCGTAAATTTATTCTTTCTATCCCGATTGATTTTCAAGTATTATCAATACAAATGAGCGAGGCGTTTTCATTAGACAAAACCGGTCAAACACATGTTTTACAAACGTTTGATGAACAGGTTCAAGACTATATTGACATTGATGGACAAACATTTCAACCGGATAATTTACGGAATAAAACTGTTATTCGAGCAAAATTAGTTTCCGTACCCTTTACAAATCAAGATAGCAATAGTGAAATTACTACATCAACAGCAATGATTCATACTCACGGCAATATGTTATTACCAGTAAGCTTAGCTCAAACTTATAAAATGTGGTATTTTCAGTCAAACTCAATTATTATCTAAAAATGGTTTTTTATATCATTTTGGGAGAGATACGATACTTGTTACTAATTTTGAATCCTTAGCTTCGGAAAAAGTTTATTTAGTTCCTGTTTAACTGTTATAGAACTTTGCGTAAGTTTTTGATTTTAGTTCGTTCTTGAAAAAAGTTGTAGAAGCTCACTTTTGATTGATTCCTTCTATTTGATGTGCCTTAGTATCTTAGCATAGCTTAATACTTTATGACTCGTTTGCACGTGTCTGATGATGAATCATCATAACAAAAGAAAACGTGAGCGAAGTGGATAATGCATACACTGTACGTGGTTTTTCTTTATATGTGTATAAAACAAACGAGTGTCTCACTATGCACACTGTTGTGAACTCTTCTCTATTTGTTTATCCATTATCTATAAAGATTTATTTTCTAGCATCATCAAACAAAGTTCAGCACAAATTCAACTGATACCACTACTATTACAAAGTCATCAGTAATGGTCTCACCTCAGACGTCAACGAATAATTTGATTAAAATTGATAAATCACAAATTGTTGGATTAATGACATTAGAAGGATTGGAAAAATCGTTAGAATTATGGATACAACAAGCAAAAGGTAAGATTTGTTCTGTGGAGAAACTGAAAGTAATGAAGTAAGATAAAAAATGATCTGGATATTACCTTGTTACGAAAAAGATTTGAACATAAAAGTCGTTGGAAAAGTTACGATCTTTATCTCTATATTCCCGACGTGCTGGATAGTTCAATATTTTTACCGTTAGAAGAGCAATATCTCTGCTTGAAAACAGGTGTGGATCAAACTTTTTTTAGAATAGCAGTTTCGGTGGAAAATGACGAAAAAGAAAAATCACCCACAACTCGTCTCACGAGGGAACCTCCTGAGGTGATAAAAGCCTTTTTGTGAATGGGACTATTTTTAAAATGTAGGTCTTAATGGGCTATGAAGAACCCCCACTTGGTCCGGGTGCAATCAGTTTTGTTGCTGAGATATCGAATTTTCCCCCATAGGACCTGGTTTTCAAGCAAAAACGGAGTTCTGAATTTTATGTTGTAACGTATCACATACTGTAGACCAGATCGACTGTAGTCCGATGAAAAAAGGTCGAGCTGAAAACCTCTTTCCGCAGCGGTGAAAGAACTTTTGTCATATGAGTACCAAAGGTAAAACATTGAGCAAGTTCTGAAAAAGTTCTTTCATCGCGGCCTTTTTTTCAACGGACTACAGTTGTTCTGGGCTACTATATGCGATACGTTACAACATGAAATTCAAAACTCCGTTTTTGCTTGAAATCCCGGTCCCATAAGGAAAATTCAAGCAAAAAGTCGATATCTCAACAACAAAGCTGACTGCGCCCGAACCAAGCCGGGGTTCTTCGTAGCCCATGAAGGACTATATTTTCAAAATAGTCCCATTCAAAAAGGTTTTTAGTACCTCAGGAGGTTCCCTCGTCAGAATTTTCATCACCTATCATTTTTAATCTCAGTTTCTCTGATGCTAAATTAAAAGTGAAATGACAACGAATACATAATCAAAGCAGTTTTTTACACTCCATCTAATGAACTAAAATATACCTGGTCTTTCTCACATTTTGGTTCAAAAATCATCAGTTTATTTGGAACCAAGACTAGTTGATGTTAATTAGCTAATTAAACTTAGAAAAAACTATTTATTTTTCATAACATTTAGTCTTTTTCGTGTTGCAAGACAACTACTGGGATTTTTGATTTTCGCTATTTTCTACTGAAACTGCTATTCTGAAAAGTTGGATTCACATACAACATATGGGAAAACATATTCAGTTCAAATATATTCAGTTTAGATTCCATTGACTTTAGATTGCAAATATATGCAGAGTTCATCTCTAACTGACAAAACAGTTTTACTTAGCCAAAAGTTGTTGTTATCTATTTTTGCTTAAAGTTATGGAAAAACAGATGCGCAGAAGATCAACAGAATTTCCCTGATCAGCGGATGCTGGCATTGTTGTGCGTTAATTTTTAATGAAAAAAACCTTTGAAGGCTATTGTTAATATATTTTTTTTTCAAAAGATCGTATTTGTGTGTTTAGATTATCAATATCAAATGAGTCAAAATTTAGTGCAAGTAAAATCGACAATAGCTGCTGTAAAACAACATGTAAGTATTGAGTTCAACAGTTTTATGCGTACCACATTTACTGGACACTTCCTGTGATCTAGATTTCACGCACTAACGATAAACAGGCAACAGACTTAGCTTTGGTAACATGTAAGTGTGTGTTGTTGTTCTCTTCTGCTTAGTGGGTATTTGCGATTTTTTGTTTTGTTGCTATCTCACCAATTAGTATGCTTAACTTTTCAATATAAATATTTATGTATAAAGCAAGTTTTCGTTTGACAACATCAGTAATTTCATCTCTAAAGTATGCCATTCACTTGTTACAAAATTTTGAATGATCAAACTATTTTCCAGTTCAGTTTTCTTCTTGTCTGTTTCTTGGCAATTTTTGTCCATATTTTTTTGTTTTTGGAGAAAAATTGAAACTTTTTCGCTAATTGATCCTATACTTTTTCCTTTGTTTATTTTTAGTATCAAATAACTGATGATCAACACATCCAGAGTCAAGATTTATATCCATCACCTGTCTCTTCTCCACCTAAACAACAACACTCGCAAACATCTCGTTCAATTACAACATCAGCTCAATATCAAAATGGCACAGATCATCATCGACAACAGCAGCCCACTATTCTCGGTTTTTCTCATTCATCAAACGGTACAAATAGTCATCGTCATTCAAGTTCGTCATCACTTTCGTCTGGTGATATTATTGGACCTGAACCTATTGTTTATGAAAACAAAAAACAACCATTGGTACCAGTTGCATACAATATTCGATCGGCACAACAAAAGTCAACGATCAATGAAAATGAATATTGTGTTAGTTATCAATCAACAGTACCTCTAAATAAATTTAATAATAATCATAATCATTCAAAACCAAATACAACCATAGATAGTGGAAATGGATATCAACGTCAACAACCATCACAGTCTCAAACATACAAACAAAATTCAAGTAAGAAGAACAGTTAACATCACTCAATGTACCTTTGCCTTCAGTCATCAATGTACGCTAAGTGACTTGAGCACGTTTTTTCCTACTAATTTTGTTAGTTATTTTAGTTGATATAACGTCTGCTGTCGTCCCATATCAACGTTTTGAACGTGGCATTGAATTTGAAGGACATGTTATCAAACTATATAATCCATCGTACTTTTTTTTACGTATTACAAATCAGACAGCAACATATGACGAAATGGATAAAGATTTGAAGTAAGTTGATTCTCTATTATGAAAATGTGTACCTTTTTATTTTATTTTTCTTTAGTCTTCATTACAATAGTGTTGATTGTCATAATACATATAATCCAAAAAGAGGTGATTTTTGTGCAGCATTATCAGATATGGATGGGAAATGGTATCGAGCAAGAATTATTCGTTTAAAACGTAGTAAGTTTGGAAAGTCTTTCGAGACTAGCACTAATGAGCACGCATTGTAATTATAAAGTCTTTTTCTTTGTTTTTGTTTTTTGTTCGGAAAGGGTAGACATAATTTTTCGAAGAGATGGTTGACAAACGATAAGAATAGTTACTTTAAAATTTATTTTATTTTTGTCCATTTCAGCTGAAAATTTTGATTTATATGAAGTTATTTATATCGATAGTGGTGAAATGTCATCATTACAATTGTCACAAATTCGTCCATTAGGATCGAAATTTGCCCAATTACCTGTTCAAGCTCTCGCCTGTACATTAGGAAATGTAAGTGATTTCTTTCCTTATTTTATATTCAACCAGATAGCATTTAACTACATTCTTTTTCTACAGGTTATTCCAGCGTCTAGTCAACAACAACAGTTAGGCTGGAATCGTCGTTCGTGTATGGCATTCGAAAATTGTACCAATAAATCGAAAAAATTAAAAATATCCGTTTTGGATTCAACTGATATAAAATGGCCAATGATGTTTATTCACATCGCCACACCAAATCATCCGGTAAATAAAGACAACTTTTTACAAAATAATTTCAAGACAAGCAAAAATTGTATCTCGCAGATTAAACGTAAACTTTGAGTGTATTTATCACTTATGCAAAGGTGGCTTATCGAAAAAATTCCTCTGGCTCATTCTCTCCTAACGTAACATACGGTTTACACCTAAGAGCTTGTATAATATGAATGTTTGAACGTCATAATTTCTCAACGCTATCATGTACCAGTGTCTGTCTTTCCAATTTGTATATAAAGTTTCATCTTCAGACGTAGGTTTCCCGATCAGGGAGTACAGTGGACATTTTTCCGTAGAGCAGGCTTATATCTGATTTTTTGAGTTAAAAAATGATTATTTTCGCATAATATAGTCTTATTATGCGTCAGATAATAACAGAAATAAAAAAAAGTCGAATTCGAAAAAAAATCTTTATGCAATGAAAAATGCCTTTGGGGGGGCCCTTGCCCTGTATTTTCGTCAAAAAATGTTTTGTTTGTAAAACTAACAACTTATACATCATTCGAAGCAGTTTTTCACGCTGATTCCGTATTTCACATTATTTCTATAATAAAACGTTTCTTAATCGAGAAAGATGGAAAATACCTCAAAAACCGGCGGTTCTTCAGAAAACCTGTATCTAAATCCAGAAGAAAAAACGTATCAGACCGCATCCACCATAGATGCATGACATGTGGACGGTCATTTTGGTATAATTTTGAGTAAAACTGGACCTTAGCTAACTTTAGCGATCCGATTATGCTGAAGACAGCCACCGGAAACATCGTTTGGGTTCGGAAAATACCTTATTTCTCTGATATAGTTGCTCTGAACTGAGATATTTTTTACAGGTAGATATTTGAAAGAGTCTAGGTTCCGAATATATACATTTTACAAGTTTGCATTCGCTTGGTGTTATAAAAAAAATGTTTTTGCCGTAGCAGTCATTTCTGTCTAGGTCGATTTTACCTATACATTTTCCCGAAAATTCGCCTCTTGAAACAAACATTTTTGGGCCATTAGATAGCCTATCTGTCGAAGTATATTTGACACTATTTAAATTTTGAAAATGCGTATTGTCCGTTTTTTGGCAAATGTCCGCCTGGATGCCCACTATGGGGTGAAACTGGTTCCTCCCTAAAAGCATTTTTGGTTTTTCCGGCAAAATCTTCGACGTTTTCTCACAAGCAACTTTCTGCCAAAAGTTCAGAAAAAAATTTTTCGCCAGCAACTTTCTGCGAAGAAAATTTTTTAGCTTCTCCCATCCCTGAGAACAATGAAAAACCCTGTTCAGACGTTAGTGGTTTACATTCCTAAGTTAGTTTTTTGTGTTTAGAATGTTGCTGAATACATGTCATCGTTATTTTTAACAAAATCATCGACAAATATAGACATATCCAATTATTGGTGTAAAAAAATTCGTCCTGAACAATATATTTTGTTTAATATGTCGTCGCTAATTAATCAAAAACTTCATTTTCATACATCAATACAAATTAATCGTACAAATGATGAAATTATTGATTTAATCATAAAAGATTTAGAATGGTTACAACGAGAGTAAACATTTTTTCTTTCTCTGTTTTTTGCATGCGTATGTCTACACTGCGCTGCGTTCATGTGATATTTTGAGGATCTTTTTTTTGTTTGTTTCAAATTAATAATACATTAGTTGTAATTAAAAAAAAGAACTTGTTTTTGTTTTTGTAATCACAATTTTTTTCTTTTGTGTGTGCAACAGAAAAGATTCTTTCTGTAGCTTTTTGTTTTGTTTTTTTTCATTGTTAAATAATATTAATTTTATTTTTCAATTAAATTACGGCAGGATCATTGGTATAGGATGTTCCGATATAATTCATCTTTAATCGAGTTGCTAATTCTGTAATAACAATACTTTCTGATAGTATATATCATACATTCATTCATTATGTCGAAGAGTTTTGTTAATATTGTGTATCAGTATTCTCTAATGTAACAGTGAAGACATACATCGTATATTAATAGCGAAAATGAAACGTAGATGAGATCAATCCTTGGACTCTTAGTAATAGAAATGTTCAACTCAACATGATCCAGAGGATACGTACGAGTACAATGTTGTCGAAAGTACCGGTCGAATATTTTTGAACTTTATTTAAACAAGACTAATGTCGCTAATTTACTTTATTTCTGTAAAGATATGAATCGCATAAGATGCATATTGCAACGTTATTTTTGTAGAGAATTTTTCACAGCGCATCTTTTAAGAAAACAATAAAGCTTAGAGGATAAAATCCAACTGAGATATGAGCAAAATACTAAGTGAACAATTTATTCTGAAACATCCGCTATATATATATACAATTTCTATCTACTTTTTCCTTCATTTCTTTTCTGTTTTTATACGTAAAATGACATAATTTTCTGTTGCTTCTAGAATGTACAGTATTATTATTATTATTAGTATAGTATTCGATAGCGAGTACTTATGCTGGAAATATGATCTCTTGATGGATTTGCTAGACCGAGATATGATGACTACAAAATGCAAATTCCGGTAGATACTACGTTAGTGATTTTTAGGACTAAACGAAAAATATTATAACTGGGATAAAAGTACCCCGATCAGAAAAATGTTGAGAATCTTCTTAGATATATTACGTTTACGTCAAGGCAGGTAACTCGAGTCACATTTGTTTAAAGACTCTGACTTGACCCTGACTCGAAAATTGGGTGACATTGACTTAAGGGGGAAACAGAGACAGCAGAGTCTATTGGAGTTCCAAGGATATATATTTTTATTTTATTTTATATTCGTGAAAGTATGCTATATTTTATTATTTGTTTATTAATTATGATCAAAAATATATATTGAGAAAGATAAATTTAAAAGCTTTGCCAAGATTGGAAACAAACGAGTTCATAATAAAGAAACTATGGACAATGTCATTAGAGATGTTGTATTAATTGTTGATACATAGTAGTACGTTTTCATACAATAGCAACACTTCTACGAACTTCTAGACTTCAGAAGTCCAATGGAATTTGGGAGTTCAGAAGTCTGCTGTTTCCCCCTTGCGTTGACTCGAGTCATTCGTTCAAAAAAAATTTTTCATTTGCTCTTATAAAAGAATTACAATTTATAAGATTAAATTTCTACTTATTCATAACTTTTGTCCTAATTAAATATATTGCATCAGAACGATGTTTTGTGCATAAAAATTCGGAACTAGATATTGTGTCATGAAAAATTGTTGTAAACGTTGTTTATAAAAATAAACAGAAAACGAAAAATGACAAATATAACTGGATTCGAATCGGAAACACTGGTGACTCGACTCGAAACCGCTACGAAATGACTCGAACTCGACTTGAAAAGTGGCTTGACTCGCCCAGCCCTGGTCCACGTAAAAATTTCGAACCCAAAACTCAGATATCGATTGAGCAGTGTGAATCGTGCTTTTCGTGCAATAACTGACTTATAATCAGTTCCAAAAGACTTTCCGTCACGTATTGAGTGTTCGAAAGACAAGGGTGTAGGATCTGTGCGGTAAATAGGAGTTTTGATTAGCTCAGATCAGATGGGAGAGTTGATTCAACAAGTAGTAAATAGTAATCTTTAGGCCGTGTAGGTGCGACATGCGGAAAATGTTAAAAGATTCTATTCAATCAATCCACTAAACAGTGCCTCTCACAGAAACCTGTATATGTTGATGCCACTGTTAGATAATGGCTTTCTACAACAAAAATTAAATTTGATAGCTTTCACTTCAGATGGAAGATTTACAGTTCTACTGCTAAAGCTTTTTTCTATTTCTATACTTTGGAAGTCATTTGGAAAATGCCTCTCTCATGTAATAGAATGTATGCTGTGTACTATTATCAACTAATTAAACAAACTATAGCTATCAACGTGCCTCAGAGTTAATAAAATAACATCATCGTTGGTCGAAGAGTGTGTAACAAAAGCATCATTGGCACAATGAAAATAGCCTCATACAGTTGGGAGTAGAGAGATGGTCAAAAAAGTAGATGTGGATTCGACATAAAAGAAAGATGCCACATTGAAAATATGGTGCCTCAAATACAATGCTTCGTTGTGTCGATGCCAAAATCACCTTACTTTGTTAGAGCGTTCGTTTCTTTTACAATAAAATGAAAAAAAACAAGAAAAGAGCAGTCCAGAAAATATGATATCTTTTAGGACTACGTGGTTAAGTTATAATCTCAGTGAAAGCCCACATATTTAAGTTTTTCATTTTCTTTGCTTTATTTGCACATTGTTGGCTATACAGCTGCATTCAGACATAAAGATTCTCATCACAAGAGAGAAAATCGAATACTTTGAATCCTTGACAAACATTGACTAAGGAGAACGTACAATATAAGAAAATACTATTTCGTAATAAATACTAATGAGTGTTTTCACACAGCTCAGTCCACCATTACTTGGCAGAAGAGCCGCAAAAATTTCAAAACTTCTGCTGTGTAGAACATGGAAAGTGACGGAGAAGCCACTAGTGAATAGGACCTTGGAATAGGACCTGTGAATAGGACGTTGGAGATATCACATGAATAGTTTAAGTTTTAGAATGATATAAAAATGTATGAAACCATGCGTATACAAGTATATATAATGTATTTCAGTTTGAAGCTCGCTATTTTCTGCATTTTCCTGTATGAAAGCCCTGATCTGATTATATTTACAGCACTGTACTTCATTCACTGTTGTGCCATAGGTCAAAACTACTGACGGCCATAGGTCAAAACTACTGAGCTAACTCGAGACTTCGTTGATTAAGTTTTTGAAAAAATTATTGTAGAGTAGAACTGAAAGGAGCATATCACTAGATGCAGTTTTTGGCGCTGATTACGAATCTCACATTAGTTTTTTAAAAAAATTAAATTTTTGCATCAAAAATTCAGTTTTACATTTTTTGAAAACTGTATTTTCGATTTTCTCACCTAGACGCTTTTCCTAATAAAATAGAAGACTACACTAATCGATAGAGAATTCGATTCTCTACAAGATGGTATGTTTCTTTTGAAGTTTAGGCTCAACACAAGCTTTTCAATAAAGTTTTAAGTTATAAGATTCTCACACAATTCTAAGAAAGTGAAAACATTTTTTCAGCTTTATTTTCACATTAGTCTATATTAGGTGCCTAAAACTAAGTCTGATGTGAAAATGAAATCCTTTGTGCAATGTTTAGTGCTCCAAACTTTGTAGGTAAAAAAGGGTGTCACAGCGTCACGACGATAAAACACAATTAGTGAGGGATGGAAAGCTTATTGGAAAGATTCTTTTTTGACAATCAATAGCTCGTTTACTCCTCTACAAAGTTTGCTCGAGGCGCTTTTTAGTAGTTCTTCTAAATTCGCAGCAAATTAGCTTTTAATGAGAAGCACTTCGAATTTAGGGCCTTTTTTTGTCACAGCATTACGCGCCGGAAAACGGTTCTAAAAATGCGAATCTTTAACCACATACCTTCATTTTATACCAAAAGTAGAGTATGGCGAACTACGTCGAATGGCGCAAGAACGAAGTTTCTAGCTCTTACACTTTTTGAGAAAAGCTCAAATTACTGCGTCAAAATGTCACGCTTGGACAAGCCCTGTATTCGTTCGGTATTCTGTCAATAAACCTATTAAACTTAAGGTTTGAAACAATTTACTATAGCTTATTTTATAGCTGTCTCAATTCTGTACTTTTCTAAATACAAACTATGCTAATTCCTATTTGCGAAAGAAACTGTAATCATTTTTATATGTCACTATGAGTAAAAATTGAGATATCTATCCAGTATTTAGCCAATAAATCTGTAAGGACAAATTTTTAAAACAATATATTATAGTTCATTTTAAAGCCACGAAAATTTTCTATCTTCCTATATATAAAACATTCCGATTCTGAGCGGATGCGTGGAAGAAATGTTCTTTTAAAGCCTTAAGATGGGTAAAAATCATGATACCTGTCAGTATTTTGACAATTGTTCTATATCGGCATATCTTTTGAAGCTTAGAAGAGCTTACGAGAGAAGCTTATTTATAGCTAGCTCATTTTAAAGCCCAAAAAGTTCTCTACCTTTCCATATATGTACATTGGTCAAGGTCTTTAAAATCATACGAAAAATACGAGGAACAAAGTGATTAGTCTTCGTTGAGCTACTGACGAAAAATGATAAGAAATATTTTTTTAAGGAGATTAAGAGCAGTTTTTGAAAGTCAGAAGTGTTGGAAAATGAAAAACGAAGCACTGCCGATCGTTTTCATTTAAAATCATATTGGACCATTTTCTTGCAGAAACCGTTTCTCGTCCTTCGCGCAATTTTATCGACTAAAATTTCCCCATGGGATGAGCTAAGAACAATGAATAGTTTAAGAGAAAAATCCACAAAACTATATACAGATTATATTCTCTTCTTCACTCCCATTCAGGAAGACTAAATTTTTGCGTAACTGTTCGAAGAACTCAACCAGACATTATTATACTACTGTTCACTATTATTAGATCGAAGATGTCAATATATCTGATGCGTATTGACTGCTGTGAGAAATTTAGATCGTAACTGTCAGCAGGCTTTT